GGGTCTCCGCCCCCATCCCCTACGCCGGAATAGGACGATATCTTCAGGTCGTATTGGGGCCATACAGGGTTTTCTCTCTCTCAGTTCATGAGTATCTGTGGGCTTCTTCCAGTCGGCTCGCCGAGTATCACTTAGAGGGTTTAGAGTTTAGGTTTCGGGCTATAGGGTTTAGGATTTTGGGCATAGGGGGGTGCTGAAGGTTCTCTGGTTTGGACGTCGAACAGTGCCCAGGCAACCTCAAGCGTGCTTCCACACTGCAAGCACAGAGCCGTTGAAATGCCAACCCAGCAGCCCATACTGCCCAAAGGTCTAAGGCCCAGAAAGAAGGGTTTAGGGTTTAGGGTTTAGGGTTTAGGGTTTAGGGTTTAGGGTTTAGGGTTTAGGGTTTAGGGTTTAGGGTTTAGGGTTTAGGGTTTAGGGTTCCCTGCCATCCCGCAGGGGAGCACCAGTGGCGGGAGTTGGGGAAGACAGAAGTCAATCAGCTGGACACCGCGTGCGGCGCCCAGGAAGCCGACGCGGGCTTTGCAAACTTTGAGGGCTTGCATGGGTTGGGTTTAGGGTTTAGGGTTTAGGGTTTCGGGTTTCGGGTTTAGGGTTTAGGGTTTAGGGTTTAGGGTTTAAAGTGTAGAGTTTAGGGCCCTACAGGGCTTTGAGGACCCAGGAATATGTCCACAAGGCTCCGAACCTTGGCAAGCCTTCCCAAACAAGCAACTGCATTCCGAAGCCGTCCACCCCAAGCAACTCTCCGCCCTGAACCCCCCACTGCCCCACCTAGGCCCCAACAGCCCCAGGACGGTGCCATCATTCTACACGCTATACCCAAAAACCCTAAACCCTAAACCTTAAACCCTAAACCCTAAACCCTAAACCCTAAACCCGAGTGCCTGGCCTGTCCGAGCGTGAGCGATTTAACCCTAAGGCCATCATTCTCCCTTTAACTGGCCTTACAAACCCGACTCTGGGACACCTGGCGCTGGAATCTACGATATAGGAGTGCAACGCTCTGCGGGAAGTGTTTAGTGTTTAGGGTTTAGGGTTAGGGTTTAGGGTTTAGGGTGTAGGGTTTGGGGTTCAGGGTTTAGGGTTTAGGGTGTAGGGTTTGGGGTTCAGGGTTCAGGGTTTAGGGTTTAGGGTTTACCACGCGGCCCCTTCATGAGCGCGAGGTGGCCAGTTTGGGGCACCGTCATGGAGATCGAGTTCCGGGTGCCCTTGTCTGGATTTGCTGCGCAGGCTTTACATTTTAGGGTCTATTTACGGTTTAGGGTTTAGGGTTTAGTGCTTTGCGTTTGCAAGGGTTTTGGGTTTAGGGCTTATGAGGGGTTCCGGGTTCAAGTCGTGCTTTTTATAGGATGTATAAGGGTTTTTGGGCAAGGAGCTTATGGAATTCCGGGAGCCCAAGCCTGACAGTTCTTGTTTTGAGGCTCTCGTGGGAGGCCTTGCGGGTTTAGGGTTTAGGGTTTAGGGTTTAGGGTTTAGGGTTTAGGGTTTAGGGTTTAGGGTTTAGGGTTTAGGGTTTAGTTGGCTTTGTAGGGAGGTTGGGGAATCTGGGGCACTTAGCTCCACTTCGAACTTCAAAGGGTTCGCTTTCTGGGCCCAAAGTGCCCCAACGAGTCGAAACTCTTCTTTTTTTGGCAGGGTAGTAGGCCATTGTTCGGGCACTCTGGGGTTTTGAACGCCTGGTTGGGCTTCGCAAGGCTCGAAGCTTCAAGACTTAGTGGGCTTAGGATTGCGGGTCGCAAGGGTTGCGGTCAGAGTGTAGTCGTGGCCGGCGGCTTGCATTCTACCCTTCTGATTCCAAGGATTTCAAGCCCCCTGAATCATCCTGGGGTTAGGGCCAAGTTTAGGGTTTAGGGTTTAGGGTTGGCTATGGAGCTGGCTTCGAAAAAGGGTTTGCTACGGAGCCGAGATGGTGCCAAGATCAAAGCCCAGCCACGAGCCCCCGATATTCACGCTCCAAAGCATGAAGGCCAAGTTCCTGTGCTCCGATGAAGGCTGAGCCCTGTAAGCCCTGTAAGAAAGGGGTGTAGGGCTTAGAGGGGTTTCTTGGCTAGTTAGAACATGTGGCCTCTGGTGCTTAAAGACCCCTTATAAAAGCCTCCCCCTCTCACCCTTTCCAAGGTGGAAATCTTAAGGCAGATGCGCTGCGAGGTGTTCAAGGCGCCATATAGGGCAGGTCGAGGACCAGGTACCTTGGGACCTCATGAACACTAAGAAGGGTTTATGGTTCATATTTAGCCGAACAGGAATTCCAGGAGCACAGGGGGTTCATGATCCCATATTGAGGGTTCATTTTGTGGTCCTCAAGGCAGTTTTGTTGTCTCGTGAAGTTGGCTTCTCACCGAGGGTTCGGAGGAGGGTTGAAGGTCTAGAGCTGAGCCTAAGCCATCCTTGTGCCTCGCACGCTGCTTCAACCCACAGGTCCCCTATGGTTACCATAGTACTACCATTCAAGAAGCGAGGGTGTGCAAAGACTAGCGTCCTGCCCGCATTTCTGGCGTGCAGGGAATGAGTAGGAAGGCCAGGAAGTATTCCTCCGAGTTCTGCAAATGTGCACAGGCACTTCCAACTCTTCCTGTTGTTCTCCTGCGCGCAGTGATGCTGTCTAATCCTTTTGCTCCACCTGCACTGGAGAATCATGACCATTGCCAGAAACGCATGACTCAGAAGCCCCGGTTGAACCTTCCCTTCCCAACAGAGAACTTCAAGGCGGCAATTGGCCTCAGGGGTGATGTCTCCCCTAAACCCCTAAACCCTTAAGCACCTAAACCCCTAAACCCCTAAACCCCTAAACCCCTAAACACCTAAACACCTAAACCCCTAAACCCCAAAACCCCCAAACCCCTAAACCCCTAAACCCCTAAACCCCCTAAACCCCTAAACCCCTAAACCCCTGAACCCCTAAACCCCAAACCCCTCAACCCCTAAACCCCTAAACCCCTGAACCCCTGAACCCAACTCCGAGCCACGCCGCAAACCGCTTTGCAGATGAAGCGGCAAGAAGCTACCGACAACATCCGCGCTCACAAGTGTGCGGCTCAGGAAGATGGACCCTAAGCCCTACACCCTAAAGCCTAAAGCCTAAACCCTAAACCCTAAACCCTAAACCCTAAACCCTAAACCCTAAACCCTAAACCCTAAACCCCAAACAAATGTGCTTCGAGCTTCGCTTTCACCCTCGACCTGCTACTCGTTGCCTCGCCCGCGCATGCCAGCGTGAGAGTCGAAACCCTAAACAGAATGTAGTGTTCAGGGCTTGGGGGCATTCTGACCGCGCGTGTTGAGTATGGCGGCAGGTTCGTCAGCCCATTGGGCTTCAACAGCACACTTCTCACTACAATTAGGACACTGTGGAGGAGATTCGTCTGTTGGTCGTGATCTCTGTGCTCAGGACTCAGTACAAACAAACTAAATTTTAAATGCCTAAACACTACAGTATTGGCTCGACCTCTTCTCATCGCCTCCCCGCCCCACCTTCCCACCCTTTCATGCTATGAGATTATGGTGCTTGGACCCCAAAACCTATATTATCGGAGGAAATCTCGACTTAAGCCAGCGTGAAGAGAACACAGCCCCATGGACTCCCACGGAATCTTCCTTAAACCAGCCCTGCAAGGAACTCTACTAGGGTTTAGGGTTTAGGGTTTAGGGTTTAGGGTTGTGCTTTCGAGAAATCTTCCTGTAATGAGGGTTCTTGGAGCCTCTGGGTTGAAGACATCCCCCTGCACCAGCTGCCAAGTCCGGCTTTCCCGAGGTTCATCGGGGGTGTTGAGTTCATGCTCACAGCAGGGGGCCCAAGCAGTTCCGGTGTAGGGTTTTGGGGTTTTGGGGGTTTTGGGGGTTTTGGGGGGTTTTGGGGGTTTTGGGGGTTTTTGGGGGGTTTTGGGGGGTTTTGGGGGTTTTGGGTTTGGGGGTTTGGGGGTTTGGGGGTTTGGGCTTCAGTGTCCTGGTTGACTCCAAACCTCACAAACACAAACACCACCTGACCCCCAGAGCCTTTTTTGGGATTGTCCAGAAGCTCTTTGCGTCGGGCCTTGGGGGTCGGTTTGAGGGACCGTACCACAACAAGCCCTAAACCCTAAACCCTAAAGCCTAAACCCTGTTCTTTGTGGTAAAGACAATTTAGGTCTCCGGCCCCGGGTTGCGGGGAGCAGGGCCTGGAACACCTGTCATGCGGTCGCTTCCTGGGCTTCTGCTAAGTAGAGGCCCCCTGGGATTGCTTTGTGCAAAAGAGTTCTTTTGCAAAAATAAGGTTTAGGGTTTAGGGTTTAGGGTTTAAGGTTTAGGGTTTAGGGTTAACCCTAAACCCTAAACCCTAAACCGTGAATCCTCCCCGCCCCCCACCCCAATTGCAAGAAGGGCGCCCCTATAAGTGTAAGACAGCGTTGCAAGCACCCCAAACCCATTGGAGCCACAAGCCTTGCACCACTGGCCCACGGAAGCCGTCGAGTTGAAGATCCCATGAGGCCTTGAAAACCCTTGGGTTTAGGGTTTAGGGTTTAGGGTTTAGGGTTTAGGGTTTAGGGTTTAGGGTTTAGGGTTTAGGGCTTAGGGTTTAGGGTTTAGGGTTTAGCCCAAAATAGCTTTGAATGAGCCTTCGCAGCCAGAGAAAGCACCAAAAGCCCCTGAACTGAATGTCTTTGAGCTCAAGGAGGCAGTGATGGCTCGCGCAAAGGCTGGGTCCATCTGCTCTTGGGGAAGGGGTGTCGAGCAAATTAAACCCTAAACCCCAAACCCTTAAACCCTAAACCCGAAACCCTAAACCCTAAACCCTACACCCTAAAACCGGTTAACCCTAAGCAGCCTGACAGATGCCGCTTTGCGAGTGCGGGGTTGTGCGCGTTTGAGCGTTTGTGTTTAGAGCCTCACGGCACCCTTTCTGTGGGATGTGCTGCTTCAGGGTTTAGGGGCTATCCCCTGCTTACGGCAGCGCTGGAAGGGCTCAAACCAGCCTAGGCAGGTAGACGTTTGCCAGCTTTTGCCCCTGACGACCGCTCAGCGCGATGGGCTTGAAGAAGAGCCTTGGGCTACCCGAACAAGACATCGTCCCTTGTAGCTCTACAGTCCAGTGCTCATTATCCCTCGTAATTAGTCGGTAGTAGGCATAGCTGTAGGTAAACTTTACGGTTGGGGCAGCCCCAGGTACTTGCCGCGATTTGGATACCCCAAACTGTGCACCCATCTTGCATGAACGGGATAGTAACTTGCTTGTGTGGACTGAGAACGCAACAATGGAATGGCTACGCCTCTATACTTGATCGCTTGTGCTTCGGGCGCGAAACCCTGAACCCTAAACCCCTAACCCCTAAACCCTAAACCCTAAACCCTAAACCCTAAACCCTAAACCCTAAACCCTGGCAGCTTCGGAGCTACAGCCCGGGGTTTCAGGAACCCCCGCACCAAAAGAGCGCTCGGCCCAGGAATGAGAACGATGGCCCTATCTGCACCTTCGTCAAGGGAGGACTAACAGGCTGGTTAGGGTTTGAGGGTTGGGATGATATAGGGTTTAGGGTATAGGGTTTTAGGGTCGAGATTATGGGGTTAGGGTTTAGGGTATTATGGGGTTTAGGGTTTAGGTTCTAGGGTTGGGATTCTGGGGTTTAGGGTTTAGAGTTCTAGGGTTGGGATTATACGGTTTTGGGGTTTAGGGTTTTCAGCCCCCACTGTACATCTCGGAGTTAGGGGTGTTCACTCTCCTAGTCATGTGCTAGACGTGCATGGTAGAACTGGCAAGTGCCCACGTTGCTAAACCCTAAACCCCAAACCCTAAACTCGAAACCCTAGACCCTAGACCCTAAACCCCAAACCCTAGCCCTAAGCCCTAAACCCTAAGCCAAACCTTTGGGGCGGCTTGTTGAGGACTCCGGGCACGCGAGACTGAGATTTGGGCCCAGAACTTCTCAGCTCAACATGGTACCCGTTGCCCTAAAACCCCTAAACCCTAAAGCCGATAAGCCCTAAACCCTAAACTCCCCAACTCTGACTTGAAAAGCAGACCAACGCCCTGTTGGAGGCTTCATTGAGGCGATCATCTGCTACCCTACAGAGTTCGTCAAGACACAGCACCTTGCCTCTGAATATTGATAGCTCGCCAGGTCCTGCGAGTTGTTGTGGCTCCTCATGTCCTTCTGTTTGCGTTCGGGGTTTGGGGTTGAGGATTTCGGGTTTGGGGTTTAGGGAAGTCTAGGGTTTAGGGTTTAGGGTCTTCATTTCACAATTAGGCACTGGCCACGACAGGTTTGAGAGGCATGGCTGGCCGTTCTCGCTGTCGTGTCGTTCCCGAGAACCCCCCCCCCCCCCCTTTTCCACTCACGTCGGGGCAACGCAGCTCAGCCCTAAACCCTAAACCCCAAAGCCTAAACCCTACACCCTAAACCCTAGACCCAGACTCTAGTCCCTAGACCCTAAACCCTAAACCCTATACCCTACCCTAATCTCGCCTTGCGCGAGCGAGACCAGGCTCCAGTTGCAATCCAAGACGAACCCCGAGTACACGGGCATGTTGGACTGCGCGAAGAAGACGGAACCTTGGGCACAAGCAATATAGGGGCTTTCAGAATTTGAACAGGGTTTAGGGTTTAGGATTTAGGGTTAAGGGTTACCCGGCTTACTGCAACAGCCCGGCAGCAAAAAGGGTTAAGGGTTTCGGGGTTAGGGTATAGGGGGCCTTAATAATTTGAATAGGGTTTTGTGGGCTACTATGGTAAAATCAAGGGACAAGGGGATATTCCTAGTCATTCTCACCATAGATCGGGTCCTTATCACAGGGATCATATTATGTAGGGGGCCTATGCTGGGGTCCCCCTATGTCGAACTGCCATAACCAGGTGGGCAAGCACGGACCTATGGGCCTGTACGCCGGCGCGCTTCCCTTGATCCTCGGCTCCTCTGGCAAGCAGGCGGCGCGCTGGACAGGCTCCTGGGGGGTTTAGGGGTTTAAGGTTCAGGGTTTAGGGTTTACGGTTTAATTAGGGTTTAGGGTTTATAAGGGTTTAGGGGAGGAGGAGGTTCACAAAGTAGCCCAAGTACATAAATTTCGGGTCCGTAGTCCAGTGAATCTTCCGTAAGCAACGGCTTTTCCCCTGAGAGGACCCAAAAACGTAGATCCCTTTTACAAGGCCTAAGGATGACCGACTCGTCGTCTCGGGTACGATGTGGGAGTTCGACTTTCTGGATGCTCCTAGGGTTCTGCCCTAAACCCTAAACCCTAAACCCTAAACCCTAAACCCTAAACCCTAAACCCTAAACCCTAAACTTTTCAAAGCTTCAACTTGTCAAACCGTTGAGCTTGAACTCGAGTGGGGAGGAGAGCCAAGCTCGGGACCGAAACTGGCATCCCAAAGACTCCCATCTTTAGTTAAAGATGACTCCTTGAACTATAGGGGGGTTCCTTTCTATGGTTTAAGGGAATCTATTCCTTAATTAAGGGGTATGGGAGTCCCTGGCATTCACGTCAAACCCTCTCATTTTAGTCCACTCGTAGAATTTCTGCATTTTCAACTCGCAAAGTCTGGAGGGGCTGCCGCTAGTCTTGTCACACAACCGGCTCAGGGTGTAACCGGACATTTACATTAAACATGCATATCACGCTAAGGGTCCATGTACCTTATTAATATATATATATATATATATATAATAATAATAATAATAATAATAATAATAATAATAATAATAATAATAATAATAATAATAATAATAATAATAATAATAATAATAATAATAATAATAATAATAATAATAATAATAATAATAATATACATATATCGGCCCCAAAGTTTTTATATAGGAAGTACTTTACGGCCCAGGTATTCCCTATTTAGGTACATGGACCCTTCGGGTAACTGAAATTTCCCCACCCCCTTGCCCAGTCCTATAAATCAGGCCCCCACGCTAGATGCGTGTATACAGAGTGCTATGCCGGGATATATGTGTAGTTACGGGCACCGTAAACAATTGCAATTTTCATGAGGGCTCTAAGAGCAGCTGAGTTGAACCCGAAAAGGACCCTTTCTGCGGTTTTTTTTGGGCAGGCTTTCAGCGAAGAACTCACGACCCTTCAAGGGTGTTTTCCAGGGTTTAGGGCTCCTTAACCCCAAACTCTAAACCCTAACACCCTAAAACCTAAACCCTAAGCCCTAAACCCAGAACCCGACATAGGGTCTAGGTTGGGATGTCTCCCCCTATACAAGGAGTCCTGAATGGGGATCATAATCGGCGGTATTACAAAAACTATTCGCAGCGAAAACCCTAATGTGGCACCTCCCTTTTAGTGTGGGCCCCCCCCCCCCCCGGACAGTCGAGGCGCGGATGGGATCCTGATTACACGGCCCCTGGGGTTCATATGATTTTCATAGAGAGGAGCTTAGATAAGTTCAAAAGGGACAGCGATGCCCGGCTATCTTTTTTAAAGGCGCGGCACGTGGAATTTTCTTACGGCGCCCGGACGATTTGTCTTTAAAGAGGGACTCCCAAACAGTCAGGGTGTCCTGAATAATTCAGCCAATTTGTCTTTAAAGAGGGGGCCGATACTAAAGCAGGTGCCACATTAAACCCTAAACCCTAAACCCTAAACCCTAAACCCTAAACCCTCAGGACTGTTAGTATAAGGGGGAACATCGGAACATCCCAAGGTTTAGGTTCGGAGTGGTGATTTCAGTGGGGACTTGGTTTTTATCAATTCTTAGACGCCCTGAGCCCTCAGCCCTGGGCTTAGGGTGTTGGATGTATGGGGTTTAGGGTTTAGGGTTTAGGGTTTAGGGTTTAGGGTTTAGGGTTTAGGGTTTAGGGTTGAGTATCCAGCTTGCTTGGGCGCAGGCTACGAAACCATGGCCAACGCCCTCAAGGCCGGTACAGAGATGTAGGACGTAGGAGTCTGAGATTGGGGAATCTTCATTTGTTTTGGTTGCTTGAGAAGAATGTGTACCCTAAACCCTTAACCGGGGGTATACACATCCTTCCACAAGGTCGTAACCATTTACAGCTACATCGCCAGTGTGTTGAATCAGTTTATACAAGCACGAATCTCCAAGTAGAGCTGTCTTGTTCACAAGGTTTAGGGTTTAGGGTTTAGGGTTTAGGGTTTAGGTTCGGGTTCACAAGGTCATTCCGGGAGCACATGGGCATTGCTGCGGGGGCTTCTGGTGCGCTAGAAGACAACCTGGAACGTAAGGCATGCGTTGCGCATTTCAGCTTCTAGTGGGTGCAGGCCATCCCTGAAAGCAACACCCTCAGCCCCAAACCCTTCAATCATGGATTCCTTTCCCTTGGGGACGACATGAACCCTAAAAGGGTTTATGGCTCATATACCTTAATAGGTAATAGGAATTATAGTAGTCAGGGTACATAACCCCCCAATTTTAGGGTTCATTTCGTCCCCAAGGTCGGGGGTCATCCGACACAACTGGAACAGTCCGAAACACTAAAACCTAAACCCTACGGAGAAGATTTGCCTGGACCCTGCGCAGGGATGACACGCACAACTGGAGAAGGGGGTTATAGCCCTAAACCCCAAACCCTAAACCCAAAACAGTACTAAAGACCTTGAGGTAGACACAGAACTGACGGATAGATCAGCGAGGCGGGAAATACAACTTTGGGATGATCAAAATCAAATCTCTATATTTCCCTTATAAGGAAGGTTTGTCTCTTTTTCGGGGGGGGGGGGGGGTTCTTAAGCAAATAGTGGTGAACCCTAAACCCTAAGCCCTAAACCCTAAACCCTACACCCTACACCCTACACCCTACCTGAAGGCCATAACTGTGGGATGCAGTGCAAGGACGATCAGGGCAAGCTGACCATCCCAAAGCGCATGCTCGCTGGGGCCTGCGGCGGCATCTCTGAGGCGACGGGATCGGGGGGGGGGGGGGGGGGGGGGGGGGGGGGGGGGGGGGGGGGGGGCGGAAGGGTTTAGGGGTTAGGGGTTTAGGTGGGTAGGGCTTGATAGGGTTTAGGTGGGTTAGGTGTTTGAGGGAGGGCTAGGAAGTATGGATGGCTTGGGAGGTTGCGTGGTTTCCTTCAAAGACACGGCTACAAAGTCCATGAGCTGTAACAGACACTCATAGCGCCTGCATCCGAGCCTTGACATCCCTTTCCCCGCAGCCCGCCAGCTCGTCTCGCACAAATTCCCATGCACCACATGGCTATGAGTGTCGCAAGGGCTGTGCCTGAAGTGCTATGTTGCACCCTTCACCCATGGTGCTTTTTCAATTGCACGCTGTGTGGGGTGATAGCTGATAGCCGCACCGCCCGTCATGTCAGAGGTCTCCTTCTGTGCTTGGGTATCCGTAGATGGGCCGGCATCCTGGCCCCAGCTTCTTTCCTGTTGTGGCGGCCTGAATGCTGGTGTACAAAACACACACCAGCCTCGTTTAAATCCCAAGTTCAGACCCTTGCACAGAGACCTCTTGCAAGCCTTCTACTTGCAATCCCCAAGCCCTTCAAGCCCCAACCCCTACAACCCCTACAACTTTACACCATCCGGCTTTCAATGAATCCTAAACCCTAAACCCTAGAGAGCTGACTGTCCTGCTGAAACCCTAAACCCTAAACCCTAAACCCTAAACCCTAAACCCTAAACCCTAAACCCTAAACCCTAAACCCTAAACCCTAAACCCTAAACCCTAAACCCGAACCCCAAAACCCTAACGGAACCAAAAGGCCATCTTTGCTGTCACGCCGATCGAGACTTTGAAGACACGGGTGACAGACGACATGCGCCGAGGTGCTGTGGGCTTAGATGTACGGTTCAGGCTAAGCACGCAGCCCTCAGCCCCCACCCCTTTGACTCGTACCTCCTTTCTTGGGATGGGCAAGGAGCCCCCCTGATTGCCGTCGTCAACCTAGGCTGGCGGCCAATAGCACGCGCCAGTAGCAAGAGCGTTGAGAAGCCCTGGCCTCCAAAACCCTAAACCCAAAACCCTATACCCTACAAAACCCTACAAAACCCTACAAAACCCTATAAAACCCTATAAAACCCTATAATACCCTATAAAACCCTATAAAACCCTATACCCCATAAAACCCTATAAAGCCTATAAACCCTTTCAACTCTCTAAACCCATAAACCCTAAGTTGCATCCTGTGAGTAGATTCAGGCGCCCTAGACCCAGCTCGGGGCCACAAGCTCGGAGCCTTCAAAACCCGAAACCCCAAACCCTAAACCCTAAACCCCAAACCCCAAACCCTAAACCCTAAACCCTAAGCCCTAAACCCTAAACCTTGAGGTACCGGGAACTACACGGGGTCCTTCGATGCCCTGACGAAGATTCTGAAGTCCGAAGGCGGGGCCTGGCAAAAGGGATTCAACAAAGCCCACATTGGGGGTTTACGAAAATAGGAGACCCCTAAATTAGACCCCCCAAATTGTAGGATTCCCTTAGAAAAAGGAACCCCGTAAAGTACCCGAATTCCGGAATCCCCCCCAACTCAGAAACGCAGTGTCAGCTTCGGACACGAAGGTCCAGAGGCTGTAGGCTTCACAGGGTTGAGTCTTGTGGCCTTACCCTAAGGCTCCAAATAGCCCAAAGTAGGTACTATTTGCAGACTTCAGTCCCCAATGTAGGTATCATTTATACACTGGGAGCCCCAGGGTTTAGGGTTTAGGGTTTAGGGTTTAGGGTTTAGGGTTTAGGGCTTTACATGGCTACATGGCTACGTCTCAAGCCATTTGGCTGAACCAGCTTCGGGAGCATCTCCGTTGAGAGCCATGTCAAGCCAGCCGGTCATTCGCCTGCGGAGGTTCCAGGAGGAGGGCACTCCAGTGGGAGAGCTCCTAGCTTGTTCTCAGTAGGGACTTCGGGCTTATAAGGTACTCTATAGCCTCCATAAGGGAAAGGTAACGAATACCCCAAATTCCCTACGAAGAACACCGAAGGCTCAAGACCACCGTGGAGGAGCTGAATCGAACCTTCCCTTGCAAGCAAGGCGGCCGGGTCTTCGCATGTTGGGGGCATGCAGGGACTGGAAACCTTGTGGCCTTCCTCGATATGTTCACGGAGACGGAGCCCAGCGAGGCCGATGTTGAGAATGACGCCAGCCTTGGCCAGATCTTCTCTTCGCCGACCTCGGAAGAGGTGTTTCTCCCTCCCAGCCTCTGCCCCACGTCGCCGCCCCCCTCGATGTTCCTCTCGACGAAGGATGCTTGCTATCAGGCGCCACAGCTCGAACTTTCCGACTGGTCCACAGCTCTGTTCGTGGTCGCGACAAGCCGCGTGCACGACGGATGCCTTGAGCCACTGATGGAGCTTGAAGAGCAGTTCTACAACCAACTGCAGGAGAAGGAGACACGGGGAAACGTGTTCTATCGGTGGCACTTTTCGTCTGACCTCCAAACTCAGAAGGTGACTGAGCTCTACAGAGACTTCGAAGGCTTTGCAACACATATGCAAGCCTGCCACGACCTGTTCGTCGCCGCGGAGAGCCTGCGCACGTGCCTGTCAGTGGAAGTCTTCGGCAACAGTGACACCCTTCAACGCATGGAGAGATGGGGGCTGCCCATTCGCAAGTACTGCGCTCGCGATGTCTGCGTGAGTCGGATGTAGGACTGACAGAACGGCGGCGCCATGTGGTGCAGTCACCCTCAAACACAGGAGATGTTTCGCACATCTCATTTTACGTCATCCTTTTGTGATGGCTTGTAAGTATGTGTATTCTGTTTTCGTGCCACCCTCATAAGTGGGCGTGGCTGCAAGAGTGGCACCTTAGCGCCCTTGCTCCAGACACTGAAGCCTTGCAGTGCGCCCTAGGTTTGGATCTCGACCCCTAAGGCTCTAAGCACTGATAATCTCAGGGTTTTGGACCCGCTAGGCACTGTCCTGTAAATATGGTTTTGGGCTATTTTGAGCCTTAGGGCTTTAGAGAACGGCTGCACTGCGCTTACCATTCCTACGCCGGACGCAAGATTTGGCCATCAGTGCGCATAGACCGAATGCAGAAGACGCGGGCAACCATGAGACGGCTCTATCCACCCCGATCCATCCACCCTGATGCCTCAGCTTCCTTAAATCGTTGAGGGTTCTCAGAATCTGTTGGGATTTCGGGCTGGATCAACCCTGAATCCTGAACCCACAGCCCCAAACCGTCATACCAGCCGCCTGATAGGCCCTATGGACGTCTACAAGGGTTCAAAATATCCTCAAGCAGAGGCCCGGTGTCAGTTTCAGCCCAGAAGGTGTAGGCTTGTTTCTTGTAGGGTTTAGGGTTTAGGGGTTAGGGGTTAGGGTTTAGGGTTTAGGGTTTAGGGCTTTACATGGCTACATGGCTACGTCTCAAGCCATTTGGCTGAACCAGCTTCGGGAGCATCTCCGTTGAGAGCCATGTCAAGCCAGCCGGTCATTCGCCTGCGGAGGTTCCAGGAGGAGGGCACTCCAGTGGGAGAGCTCCTAGCTTGTTCTCAGTAGGGACTTCGGGCTTATAAGGTACTCTATATCCCTCTAAGACTTCAGTCCTTTCAGAAATTCACTACTAAGAACCACGAAGGCTCAAGACCACCGTGGAGGAGCTGAATCGAACCTTCCCTTGCAAGCAAGGCGGCCGGGTCTTCGCATGTTGGGGGCATGCAGGGACTGGAAACCTTGTGGCCTTCCTCGATATGTTCACGGAGACGGAGCCCAGCGAGGCCGATGTTGAGAATGACGCCAGCCTTGGCCAGATCTTCTCTTCGCCGACCTCGGAAGAGGTGTTTCTCCCTCCCAGCCTCTGCCCCACGTCGCCGCCCCCCTCGATGTTCCTCTCGACGAAGGATGCTTGCTATCAGGCGCCACAGCTCGAACTTTCCGACTGGTCCACAGCTCTGTTCGTGGTCGCGACAAGCCGCGTGCACGATGGATGCCTTGAGCCACTGATGGAGCTTGAAGAGCAGTTCTACAACCAACTGCAGGAGAAGGAGACACGGGGAAACGTGTTCTATCGGTGGCACTTTTCCTCTGACCTCCAAACTCAGAAGGTAACTGAGCTCTACAGAGACTTCGAAGGCTTTGCAACACATATGCAAGCCTGCCACGACCTGTTCGTCGCCGCGGAGAGCCTGCGCACGTGCCTGTCAGTGGAAGTCTTCGGCAACAGTGACACCCTTCAACGCATGGAGAGATGGGGGCTGCCCATTCGCAAGTACTGCGCTCGCGATGTCTGCGTGAGTCGGATGTAGGACTGACAGAACGGCGGCGCCATATGGTGCAGTCACCCTCAAACACAGGAGATGTTTCGCACATCTCATTTTACGTCATCCTTTTGTGATGGCTTGTAAGTATGTGTATTCTGTTTTCGTGCCACCCTCATAAGTGGGCGTGGCTGCAAGAGTGGCACCTTAGCGCCCTTGCTCCAGACACTGAAGCCTTGCAGTGCGCCCTAGGTTTGGATCTCGACCCCTAAGGCTCTAAGCACTGATAATCTCAGGGTTTTGGACCCGCTAGGCCCTGTCCTGTAAATATGGTTTTGGGCTATTTTGAGCCTTAGGGCCTTAGAGAACGGCTGCACTGCGCTTACCATTCCTACGCCGGACGTAAGACTTGGCCATCAGTGCGCATAGACCGAATGCAGAAGACGCAGGCAACCATGAGACGGCTCTATCCACCCCGATCCATCCACCCTGATCCCTCAGCTTCCTTAAATCGTTGAGGGTTCTCAGAATCTGTTGGGATTTCGGGCTGGATCAACCCTGAATCCTGAACCCACAGCCCCAAACCGTCATACCAGCCGCCTGATAGGCCCTATGGACGTCTACAAGGGTTCAAAATATCCTCAAGCAGAGGCCCGGTGTCAGTTTCAGCCCAGAAGGTGTAGGCTTGTTTCTTGTAGGGTTTAGGGTTTAGGGGTTAGGGTTTAGGGTTTAGGGTTTAGGGTTTAGGGCTTTACATGGCTACATGGCTACGTCTCAAGCCATTTGGCTGAACCAGCTTCGGGAGCATCTCCGTTGAGAGCCATGTCAAGCCAGCCGGTCATTCGCCTGCGGAGGTTCCAGGAGGAGGGCACTCCAGTGGGAGAGCTCCTAGCTTGTTCTCAGTAGGGACTTCGGGCTTATGAGGCACTCCATAGCCTCCATAAGGGAAAACGTAACGAATACCCCAATTTCCCTACGAAGAACGCCCACGAAGGCTCAAGACCACCGTGGAGGAGCTGAATCGAACCTTCCCTTGCAAGCAAGGCGGCCGGGTCTTCGCATGTTGGGGGCATGCAGGGACTGGAAACCTTGTGGCCTTCCTCGATATGTTCACGGAGACGGAGCCCAGCGAGGCCGATGTTGAGAATGACGCCAGCCTTGGCCAGATCTTCTCTTCGCCGACCTCGGAAGAGGTGTTTCTCCCTCCCAGCCTCTGCCCCACGTCGCCGCCCCCCTCGATGTTCCTCTCGACGAAGGATGCTTGCTATCAGGCGCCACAGCTCGAACTTTCCGACTGGTCCACAGCTCTGTTCGTGGTCGCGACAAGCCGCGTGCACGATGGATGCCTTGAGCCACTGATGGAGCTTGAAGAGCAGTTCTACAACCAACTGCAGGAGAAGGAGACACGGGGAAACGTGTTCTATCGGTGGCACTTTTCCTCTGACCTCCAAACTCAGAAGGTAACTGAGCTCTACAGAGACTTCGAAGGCTTTGCAACACATATGCAAGCCTGCCACGACCTGTTCATCGCCGCGGAGAGCCTGCGCACGTGCCTGTCAGTGGAAGTTTTCGGCAACAGTGACACCCTTCAACGCATGGAGAGATGGGGGCTGCCCATTCGCAAGTACTGCGCTCGCGATGTCTGCGTGAGTCGGATGTAAGGACTGACAGAACGGCGCCATCGTCGGCGCCATGTTGTGTGATACCACCAGAGAGAGGGAGATGCTTTGTTTTCTATTTTGCACCATCCGTATGATGGCCTCTAATTCATGTGCTTTCGCGCCACCCTCAGAAGCGGGCGTGGCTGCAAGATTCGTGTCTCACCTTAAAAACGAAATGAACCCTAAAAGGTTTATGGCTCATATACCTTAATAGGAATTATAGTAGTCAGGGTACATGACCCACAATTTTAGGGTTCATTTCGTCCCCAAGGCATAGGCACCCTTGCAACCTAGCAGTGGGCCGTCGCCAGGTTATTTGAACCCCAGCGGCTGCACTGCACTTACCCAGTAGAGCCGGTAAGTCAGAAAGCTAACTGTGGGAATTAGTGTTTTAGGCAAAGAGTTGCTGTAACTAACATCTTGCTTCTGTTGGCAACTACTGAATTCGATGTCTATGTCAATGTAATTCTGCAAAAATGTATACTTCTGTTTCTAACTTAACGGCTCTGTTGGGTTACCGTCCCTACGCCGGACGAAAGACTTGGCACTGTGAGACGCAGAAACTCGTTTCGGCTGTATGTTCAGCCCGATCAATCTGCCTTGAGCCCTCAACCCCGAATCAGCGAGGGTTCTCAGAACCTTGAGAGCTGTGGAGTAATCAGCCCTGGATCCTAAACCCTAACTAAGCCATAAACCCTAAACCCTAAACAGTCACAGAAGCTGCCTGAGGCCCTATGGGTCTCTACATGGGCCTGGTACCCACCATTGCGAAGCAAGCGACGAACCAGGCGGCAGCTCGACCAACAAGAGCAGTCAGGAAGGCGGCGTTGAGGGTCAAGGGTTTATACTTACTTCGCCTTTAGTTGAACTTTAAACTTTTTGGGTTTCCTTATTTAGTAGGAATATTAAAGTTTAACCTTTTCTCCCCGTTGGTTATTGGAGAAGTAAGTATAAGGGTAGTCTGAGAGTCCAATCAGTTTGCACAGCCTCTTGTGTTGAAATTGGGCGTGTGGCTGTTTGGCTGTCCGGCAAGCCATGATTAGGAAGGCGTCGCTTTCGAACTGGTGCAATGGCCATATGACCTAAGCCGTCAAGCCGTCAAGCCCTAATCTCTACATCTAGATACATGTCAAGGACCATAAACCCTATCAACCTAAACCCTCTCATCTTCTGAAAATCTGCGGCTTGGTGTGGTGGTCATGTGCCTGATATAGAAAGCCTGGGCTACGATCTCAACTTCCCCACAGCGCTGTATGAGATGGCCAGCCGGAACCTACTTCTGCACGTTCCTGTATGGGGTTTTGAGGTCACCTGCAACGAAGTAGGTTTGGGGTTTCGGGTTTAGGGTTTAGGGTTTAAGGTTTAGGGTTTAGGTTTTAGGGTTTAGGGCTCTCCCTGCTTCCTGGCAGTACTTCAGAGCCCAGGTTCAAACAAAGCGTTTAGGGTTTAGGGTTTAGGGTTTAGGGTTTAGGGTTTAGGGTTTAGGGTTTGGCTCACAGGGATGTTATCGAGGCGGGCGAAGTCTCTTGGAAAAAGGTTTAGGGTTTACGGAACAGGGTTGAGGCGAGGCCCGTAAACACGAATCGGGCGTAGATGAAAAGCCCATCCGTCGTTCATTATGCATCCGGTGCACGGCACTCACAAGCCATTATTTGCTGAAGCACCCCCCCCTTAACAATGAAAAGATGGAATTTTATTCTTTCTTATAGGGGTAATTAATATCGTAATCTAGTGTTGTTTGTTTTTTTTGGGGGGGGATCTGTGAGCAAATAGTAGTAGTAATGTGCTGTGCCCTTAAACCTCGGCCCCCTCACCCCCACGAGCCCGAGGTGCGTTTTCCTGTGCAGTTCTATGCGAAGCAGCTTCTTGGCGTCCTCAACCCTCAAATGTTGGGATGTTCCCCCTTACGTTAGCAGTCCTTACTGGGGACTATAATAGGGAGGGTACTATAATCCCGATTAATGACTGTTAGTATAAGGGGAATACACCTACAACAAACATAAATATTCATATAAAGAAACAAATATAATCATATATACATATACACACACACACACACCTGGGGTCAGAGGAGAGGTTTTCTTCAAAAGCTGCCGGCTCCCTGGTACATCTCCATACCGGAGCTTTTGTCCCTATAGGCTTGGAGCCCCCCACACACATCCCTAGACCCTAAGCCCTCATACCGAAACCCCTGCAAGCTTGATCCTAGGCCCTAAACCCTAAACCCTAAACCCTAAACCCTAAACCCTAAACCCTAAACCCCATACCCTAAACCCTAAACCCCAGACCCTCAACCCAAAACCCCTAAGTGGACAGAGGGCCTTGGGTGCCCCCCCTGCAAAATCTCGAGGTTCCTCACTGGCGGTGACAAGAGCCTTGAGAGAGCCTCGGAAGCATTGGGTTTAGGGTTTAGGGTTTAGGGTTTAGGGTTTAGGGTTTAGGGTTTAGGGTTTAGGGTTTAGGGTTCAGGGTTTAGGGTTCAGGGTTCGGGGTTTGGGGGTTTGGGGGTTTGGGGGTTTGGGGGTTTGGGGTTTAGGGGTAGCCCTTGGTGCAAAAAGGGTTGAGAGCAGATCAGGGGTTCACAGCTTCCCAACCCGCAAACCCTGAACCCTCACCCTAAACCCTAAACCCTAAACCCTAAACCCTAAACCCTAAACCCTAAACCCTAAACCCTCAACCCTAAACCCTAAACCCTAAACCCTAAATCCTAAACCCTAAACCCTAAACACTAAACCAACGCCAAACCCGCAAAGCCAAGACCCTATATTCAACCAGTTTGAAAACTTTCGAGCTTCTGAGGGCTTAAGTTGTGGTGTACCCATAAACCTTTGTTTTTCCCGTTTTTGGCCGGTTCATGATGTCCCTTTCTTCGCCCAGGTTTCAGGGTTGGGTGTAGGGTTTAGGGCTTGAACTGTTAGCTTTGGGCATTCCAGGGCTGAAGTTGGGTTCAAAAAGCGTGCAGGGCTTGGCCCTTAACAGTTTCGTGATAGAACGTAGAGGCTTATGTTCAAAGGCACCTATCATCATATCCTGCATGCCCTTATCGGCTTACGTTGAAGGAGCACCCAGCTCCCTTATCATCGTACCCTACATACCCCTATAGGTCATGTTTGCGATATGACCTAAGGGTTAGGGTTTAGGGTTTAGGGTTTGGGGTTTAGGGTTTAGGGTTTAGGGTTCAGGGATATGTGGGTTCCTCAAAAACCTAGCAACACATAGCTGCGCGCAGTTGTGGTTCGAGTCGCTTCTGGGTCAGGGTTGGCGAGGCACAATTACACTTTGGGCGGATGCACCAAACCCCGCACGCACAAAAAAGGGTACAGTGTTCAGGTACCGGTCCTGCTTCCTGATCCTGACCTTAATTTTAGGGTTTAGGGCTATAGGGTTTAGGGTTGAGGGTTTAGGGTATGAGAGTGTGTGTGTGTGTGTGTGTGCGTGTGTGCGTGTGTGCGTGTGTGCGTGTGTGCGTGTGTGCGTGTGTGCGTGTGTGCGTGTGTGCGTGTGTGCGTGTGTGCGTGTGTGCGTGTGTGCGTGTGTGCGTGTGTGCGTGTGTGCGTGTGTGCGTGTGTGCGTGTGTGTGAGCGTGTGTGCGTGTGTGCGTGTGTGCGTGTGTGCGTGTGTGCGTGTGTGCGTGTGTGCGTGTGTGCGTGTGTGCGTGTGTGCGTGTGTGCGTGTGTGCGTGTGTGCGTGTGTGTGTGGTGTGTGCGTGTGTGCGTGTGTGCGGTGTGCGTGTGTGCGTGTGTGCGTGTGTGCGTGTGTGCGCGTGTGCGTGCGTGTGTGCGTGTGCGTGTGTGCGTGTGTGCGTGTGTGCGTGTGTGCGTGTGTGCGTGTGTGCGTGTGTGCGTGTGTGCGTGTGTGCGTGTGTGCGTGTGTGCGTGTGTGCGTGTGTGCGTGTGTGCGTGTGTGCGTGTGTGCGTGTGTGCGTGTGTGCGTGTGTGCGTGTGTGCGTGTGTGCGTGTGTGCGTGTGTGCGTGTGTGCGTGTGTGCGTGTGTGCGTGTGTGCGTGTGTGCGTGTGTGCGTGTGTGCGTGTGTGCGTGTGTGCGTGTGTGCGTGTGTGCGTGTGTGCGTGTGTGCGTGTGTGCGTGTGTGCGTGTGTGCGTGTGTGCGTGTGTGCTTGTGCGTGTGTGCGTGTGTGCGTGTGTGCGTGTGTGCGTGTGTGCGTGTGTGCGTGTGTGCGTGTGTGCGTGTGTGCGTGTGTGCGTGTGTGCGTGTGTGCGTGTGTGCGTGTGTGCGTGTGTGCGTGTGTGCGTGTGTGCGTGTGTGCGTGTGTGCGTGTGTGCGTGTGTGCGTGTGTGCGTGTGTGCGTGTGTGCGTGTGTGCGTGTGTGCGTGTGTGCGTGTGTGTGTGTGTGTGTGTGTGTGTGTGTGTGTGTGTGCGTGCGTGCGTGCGTGCTTTTTGGTGGGTGCAGGCCCGCATGAGTTTTGGATATACGGGCTGGATTATACCAAGGTGGTAATAAGGATCCATTCCATTCTCGCAGCACCAGTACCCTAGAACCTAAATCCTAACACGTAAGCTGCATGACAGACTACTACTTGCCCAAGAACCCCCAAACATAGGGACATTATCTTTAGTTTTTGCAGGGTTTAGGGTTTGGGGTTTGGGGTTTGGGGTGTAGGGTTTAAGCAAACACTAGCAGAGGCAACCCGGTCTACAACGGTGTGGCGGGTGCCTTTGCTGGTGCCGTGTCGGTGTTGTGCACCATGCCCCAGGCCGGTTCTCGCGAAGCCCTGAACCCGGACCCCCTGAGAATTTAAGAACCAAGTAGAGGGTATAGGGTTGCAGGGTTTGAGAGTGCGGTTGAGTCTGCGAAAGCTCCACGAAAGACCAGGCGATTTCACATGCCGAGCCTAGTTGAGAGATGAAACTTTCCATGGTCGAGACCACTACAGCAAGAAAGGCACGATTAGCTTGCACACTGCACATGCTCGATTGTCCCACAGCTTGCAGTGTAGTGGTTGGGTCGGTTTGCCATGGTCCTAAAACCCGAAACCCTAAA